CGATTCATGACCGTAGGCAAGTATGGGGATAAACATCGACTTGAATATCGAGAGCTTAGTTTTCAGACTGTGCTCTGTTTTATTCACATTGGGTCGGGCTAGTTCACGCAGAACGCCATTGGCTACTCCAATTCGCCGGTCCATCTCTTCCTCCAATTTTCCATCACTAGTAAATACAGTTCCGAGGTACTTGAACTTCTCCACTTGCTCCACTGCCTCTCAGTTAATCTCAAGAGAGCAACGGGCAGGAGAACGAGAAACCACTAGGCCTTTCGTTTTAGATGCGTTTGCACCCATGCCGGTCACGTCGCACTCGGCTGCGAACCTTTCTAGGGAACACTGAAGATCACTTCCAGAAGATAAGGCTAATAAAGATAAAGATAAAGATAAGATAAGGCTAATAAAACAATGACGTCTGCAAACGGCAACTTCTCGTCTTCACATATCCTACAACAGTATACTCATAGCCTTGGCTGCCCATGACATGTACGACACAAACAGGAGAGGAGACAGGACGCAGTCTTGGCGGAGATCATTGCCAACGTTTAAGGATTTCGACTTGAGGCCGTTAACTCTGACGCAGCTCCTGCTATCAGAATTCAATGATTAGATGGCCCTTAGCAACTGGCCATCTATCCCGTATTGTCGAAGGCATGACCACAGACTGTTGCGCGTGATCCAGTCATAGACATATTCTGGGTCAAAAACCACATGTACACCGGAAGGGCGTACTCCCACGATTTCTCAACAATCTCGCCCAGGGCAAATATATGGTCACAGGTGTTTCGACTGGGCCGGAAGCCACACTGCTCTTCTAGGACCTTGAGGTGAACTATTTCATGGCACCTCCTTTCTAGCACCTTTGCGTAGACTCTACCTGATAGGCTCAATAACGTCATGCCCCTATAATTGGAACATTCCTTGTGGTCTCCCTTCTTAAATACGGTTACAATAACTCCCGTTCTCCAGTCCGCTGGTGTCTTCCTGCAGTCATCGCAGTTTGACAGACACGTGTTAGCCAGCACATGCTTTCTTCGAATAATGCTTTGAGATTCTCAGGGCGGATTTCGTCAATTCCAACAGCTTTTCCATTTTTCAGGTTTTTCGCAGCTAGTGTAATTTCATCTACAGAGATAGTAATATCCGTACCCTTCTGCTATGCAGGCGAGGCTTCCTGCGGTTGCGCGGCGTTAAGGAGTTCCTCAGAGTACTCCCTCCATCGCTGAAGAATGTCATCATCCTTGGTAAGAGGGTGTTCAGCTCTGACCTTCAGTACTCTGACACTGCGCTTCTTTTCACCTGGGAGCCGGCCGATGGTCTGCCAGAATACTTTGTTTGCCGTGTGTAATTCGACTCCAACACCTCACCGAACTTGACCCCGGAATCAGCTTTGGCTTTTGCCACTGCTTTGGTCGCCGCCTTGCGTGCCTCGACGTATCGCACGCGAGTAGATGGCTCCTTGTTTGCAGACCATTTCTTGAATGCTGTTTTCTTCTCTTTAACTGCCAGTTGTAGCTCTCGTGTCCACCATCGAGATATTTTCTGACCTCCATGCGGCAGACCAACCCGTTGATATCCGCAGGATTCAGTGGCAGCCTCGAGTGTGCCGCTCTTAAGGCGCTGCCACTCGGTTTCAACATGAGCTATCATCACTGAGATGTGCTCAAACCGTCTTCCGATGTTGTTTGAATATTCGCTCTGGTGTCCACCGAAGATAATGTTTCCCATTTGATTCTCCGGTTACTTCTGCCAGCAGATCTTGGTATGGTACTCCATTTCTTACAGCGCAGCGTTCCAACAACAAGGTGATGATCGATTGATTGCTCTACGCCTCTCTTAACGCTAAAATCA